AGGAGGTCAGCAGCTTGGATGAAGCAGCGCTGGTCAAGAGGAGTCAATTTAGAATAGTCAAAAAAGTCTATTTTAGGCAACTGAAACGAGAGAGAAGCATAAAATCAGAGGCCAGGCAGTACATTTCCCATGTAAGGGAAATCATTTTAGGAATTACATGTGTAGAAAAGAATAACGTTTGTTCTAATTACTCTATAAGGCAGTTACCAGCCCTATAAGAGAGATGAGAAAATGGTGGCTCAGAGAGGTTAAACGAACCTGTCTGGAGCCAACAGACTAGTTTTACTAGTCATGATTAGTAAAGAAGTATAGTTGGGGATTTAAACCAATCTTTCAGCCATTCTTTCCACAACATATTTACACACAACTATTTTTTTTTCTATTATAGAATACGTAAGAGAGACAGTCAAAGAACCTATGGGGAGTTGGAAGATCAAGCAACAGATCTTAATAAAGTTAGTTCTCAACCATACTTTACCATGTAACACACTAAATGCCAGTTTGGATCACAAATAATGACAATGATTAAAGTTTTTAAAAATCAAGCTGTTTACATCTTGATATGAGACCTGGTTAAACAGATGTATAGTATACACTGTATACAAATCTCACATCAAAAGAAAAAAGATATTCAACTCTAGGTAATGATCTGCATGCTGATGTATTTACAGGGAAGTGTACTGATGTTTTTGCAATTTACTTTGAAATGCATTATAATGAAATGAAACATAACAAAGATGTGCTGATGGAGAGACAGAGGACATATGTATGATAAAGAGGATACAGTAAACTGTTAACTTTTTAGTAGCACCAGTGGTAGGGATATAGGTGATCGACGTAAAATATTTCAACTTTTCTGTAGGTTTGAAAATTTTCATAATAAAATGTTAAGAGTCCTGGCCAATTCTTGTTTTGTTTTAGGAATTTGCTTTGTAGGATTAAAGATATGGAGGATTCATTTAATTCTTTGTGGGAAAAGGAAGATAAGAAGATAAGAATTACAAGGAAAGATAGAAGTTAAAGACAGAATTCAAAGTGGCTCAGAATGGGAGATCGCACTGAAGTATAGACATATTCTGAAATCCTATGTCCCTCTGCTAGTCTTTAAAAACTTGTCCCAACAAAGCACTTTCTTCCCATACAGATAACAACAACAATAACAACAAAGCAGAGCATTTCCAGGTAGCGACTGCAAAGCAAGAACACCACACTTGCCTTTGTCTCATCCTGGCTGGCCAGCAGACTGCTACTGGGATTTATGATGATTCTATCTTCTCTCTTTGGATAATCTGGGTTTTCCAGAAGAAAATTACAAAGTCTGCAAAAACAAATGATGTTACTTTCATACTGCTTCCAAATCCCACACCTGCCCATTGCCTCAAATGCAATGTTTGAAGAATATAGTCCTTAGTCACACATTACAACTGGCCTAACAAGAAATTAAGATGTGTGCAGCCCAGAAAAACTAAACAGAAAAATAAACAAACAAGTGCATTGAATTCATATCTTTGTGGAAGATAAAAAATTTAAAAAGCAACGAACATACTGATTAAGGCAAACTCCTCTGAAGTTTAGGTATCAGTTGTGTGTTAATGTAATGAAGTCACTGAAACTATTATTGGTTAAACTTCAAAATTGGAAAATTTGTAAGAAAAGTAGCTACTCTTTTGTCAAGAAAACTATGAACAAGAAAGAAGTGGAAAACTGTGTATTCACATTTACAATAAAAAATAGTCTGCTAAGAGATGTAATAAATAAATGAAATATAAAAGATCTTCTGTTAATTCATTAATACTTTTCATACCCCTCTGGTAACATGAATCTCTACAGTAATATAAAGCTCTATGAGCCACTGAGTTATACTCGGTTTATTTAGCTAGCTGTTAAGCTAGACTGATGAATAGACCATGTTTTCCTACGAACAGACACTCTTCACACCAAACCCATTAGCTTTGTCTATTATCATCATGAAATACTTCCAAAGTAAGGATATATAGAGTGAGATAACACACATTGATGTATCACCACCCAGACCCAACAAATGTTAACTATTCAGGCTCTTCACAGTCAAATCAGACAACCACCTTGGAATGGTGGTTGTACCCCACAGTAGTGAAGACAGAGTGAGTGGGGTACAGCTCTAGCCACATTCAGTAGCAAGGAAGTTCCTTTGCTCAGAGGTTAATGGGGACTTCCCCTTTTCTCTGTTCTTTCTCTTGCTCCAGTAGATTCCTAGGATGAACCCCTAGGTGCTATACCTGCAGTTCTCACATACCTCCTTTCTACTGATTCTCTTTTGCCAGATGTCAATAGTAAGGCCTATAATAGTAGGACAGGAGGTCTGGCAGAAAGAAGGCAGAGAAAAAGTGCCCAGCTCTGCCTCTTTTTCTCACCCAGGTGTCAGTGTTTGGGGACTGGTTTGGACACGTGCGTTTATTCTGCAACCCCCGCCGGGGACCCATGTCAAAGCGCTCTCGCTCATCCTGACATCTCAATGCATTTCCCTTTGCCATTACTTCTGGGAGTCCCATATACTTTTTGTCTCTAAGCTCCCCGCTTCCCTACCACCACAGCCTGCCCAGTCTATGGAACACAATGCCAGAGGCCCAAAGAGAGGAAAAAAAGCAGGAAACTCCTATTACAGAGGGAGACAAGAATTCAGAGTACATTTTCCTTTAAAACCATTGTCATCAGTGGTAATTCTCTGTCCTAGAATTCACTGGTGTGCACTGAGGTTATGCAAACCTTTGAAGGCTGACCTGAGAATTAGCCACCAGCAAAAATCCTGTCTGTAGGGAAAGGCCTGAGTTACAGACAACTCATTACATGTGCATATTTGACGTGGCGACAAACTAGACATGAACTAGCTTTAAAATGGTCTGTTTTCACGTTTTCTCAAGTACATAATACATAAGTACACCTCTACATGAAATACATGTGGAACAGTAGATATGATTTCTTAAAAAAAAAAACATGTTTGAGAGGTTCATCTCTCCCCATTTTATATTTTCAACAATATTAAGAACTTCAAATACTGAAATGCTACAGATATGAAGTTCCACACGGTAGATATCAGAAGCTCTCACTATAAACTGTCAAAATTCATTTCTAGTTTAATCCTTTCATTATGCTTACCAACAGAGCTCTTCTGGAGGTTAAGGGACATTTAGAGGCCCAGAAAATGAAGGATAAAGTTTTTCTTCTACAGAAACAAATGGTATTCTCTAATATCTGCACCCTGCGGCAAAAGCAGAGGGGAAGCCTGTTGGACTTCAATCTGCCTACCTCTTCATATGATGTCATGCTTGAGGTGATCTGACATGCTAGCGGATCTAGAGAAGACACTCCTGCAAAGTAAGCCAGGCTAGTACTCCGACCTTTCAACCCTTAGATAGTTGTTGCTGCCTTCATCCAACTGAAGTTGACCCCGCGTGAGTGAAAGGTCTAAGTTAACCAGCCAGAGTAGATTACCTGCCATGTGGTTCTCTAATGAATAGGCCCTTCCTGCTTAAAATGCCCAGATGGTTCCATCTGAAGGTCATTGAAAGACGCACATAAAGCAACTGAGACTGAGCTACAACAAAATCCCAGCCTGCTCAACTCAGCTTTGGGCCTTATTTCCAGTTTCCATTAACATTTTAGTTTAGTTGTGGAATTAACATTGTCCTAGGAGCCCAGAGACTAACGGAAAGGAAAGCAGTGTCAGGAAAACAAGATTGGCTTGAAAAGATGCAATACAATGACAGTACATTCCCTTGCTTTTTGGATATCACGAGAATTTTTTTTTTTTTTTTT